TCCCCCCTAATTCTATCTCTGTCCACACACTAGTGTATGACCTTGTCTTTGTCCACATACTTTGCCTTTAACGTTACTGGCATCTAGTGACATACCCAAGGTATGGCACGTGCCCTGGGCACTACTTGAAGGGGGGCACCACTAGAAGGGGGCGCCACTTCAAGGGGGGCACCACTAGAAAGGGGCGCCACTTGAAGAGTCATGGAGGAATGAAAGGTTCCCTAGTTTGCCCGACACTGACGCCAAGTTTGGGTTCCTTCTCCATGCTGAGGGACTGTGTTACGACATCGACAGTAACCACCTAAAGAAGTGCGAAAATTTAAGCGAATTGTTGTCCATCAACAGTTGTGATGTTGATGGACAACAGCTATGAAGAAATTCTGGATTGCAAAATGTTAGTATCAAGTCAAGTCAACGTTAAAATATCAAAACCTGAACAGTTTCGCGAATTTATTTATTTATTGTTGATTTTATGGTAAAGTTATCTAAAAGATAGATATTAGATGTTAAGACAGAGGCGCCTCTGGTGGCAGCTCTATGTAAACTGTACTATCACAGGTACTTACAGCTTAGTCTAACAGTAACAATTTCTTCTTATCTACTGACATGTTTAACATGACACATTTCAATTTGATGGACAGTTGATCTGCTAGTTCCTATCTATATTGTTCTTTTCTCTTCCTATAGCTCGATTGGTAGCGCACTCAGCTCACACACTAAGGTTCGTGGTTCGATCCCCGGTACGGGTGGAAGCATTAGGACGTGTTTTCTTAAGACACCTGCTGTCCCTGTTCACCCATCAGTAAAATATGTACCTGGGTGTTAGTCGACTGGTATGAGTCGCATCCTGGGGACAAAATTGAAGATTTTAAGTGAAAGAGAAAATACTGCTATACCATTTCCAAATTATAACTCGCAAAATAATAATAATAATAATAATAATAATAATAATAATAATAATAATAATAATAATAATAATAATAATAATAATAATAATAATAATAATGATAATAATAATAAAAATATATAATATCTGTATAGAGAGGCCTGGTCACAGACCGGGCCGCGGGGGCGTTGACCCCCGAAACTCTCTCCAGGTAAACTCCAGATGGGTGAGATTTAGCGTGCAAGCAGAAAGCCCGTAGTTATGCAGAGTATTTCTGGCATATACACAGCACTGACAATGCTAGCATTCTTCTGGGTAGGATACCCAGGTGTTTGACGTTTGAAGCCGACTGGAAGAGGCATTTTAAGGTTATCACGTGGAAACCAAAAACCGGGAACGACCCATGTTAAACTGGACAGAAGTCACCTGCACACACCAAGTGTTCCATATACCTGATTATTGTTCACCTCGGCTGAAAATTTTAAACTGATCGGATATGATGTTCAGATGTTAATACTGAAAGCGTTGAACTGAAGTTAGTGGCAGACAAGAAGACTGCACTGGCAGTTAGTAACAGCTGCCACCAATAACTGGACAGTTAATAACTGCTGCCATCAACGGCGGTGGGACCAGACATCTCTCAGTGGGTCCTAAGAGAGGGATCAGAGATGCTGTTTGTGCCACTAACAAAGATCTTCAACACATCCATTGAAACTGGGCAACTACTCGAGATATGGAAGACGGCAAATGTAGTCCCAGTTTTTAAAAAAGGAGACGGACATGAGGCATTAAACTACAGACCTGTGTCACTAACGTGTATAGTATGCAAGGTCATGGAGAAGATCATCAGGAGGAGAGTGGTGGAGCACCTGGAAAGAAACAAGTGTATAATTGACAACCAGCACGGTTTCAGGGAAGGAAAATCCTGTGTCACAAACTTACTGGAGTTTTATGACAAGGTGACAGAAGTAAGACAAGAGAGAGAGGGATGGATAGACTGCATTTTCTTGGACTGCAAGAAGGCCTTCGACACAGTTCCTCACAAGAGGTTACTGCAAAAGCTAGAGGATCAGGCACACATAACAGGAAAAGCACTGCAATGGATCAGAGAATATCTGACAGGGAGGCAACAACGAGTCATGGTACGTGACGAGGTGTCAGAGTGGGCGCCTGTGACAAGCGGGGTTCCACAGGGGTCAGTCCTAGGACCTGTGCTGTTTTTGGTATATGTGCACGATATGACGGAAGGGATAGACTCAGAAGTGTCCTTGTTTGCAGATGATGTGAAGTTAATGAGGAGAATCAAATCGGTCGAGGATCAGGCAGGACTACAAAGAGACCTGGACAGGCTACAAGCCTGATCAAGCAACTGGCTCCTTGAATTTAGCCCTGCCAAATGCAAAGTCATGAAGACTGGGAAAGGGCAAAAGAAGACCGCAGACACAGTGTAGTCTAGGTGGCCAAAGACTGCAAACCTCACCCAAGGAAAAAGATCTGGGGGTGAGTATAACACCGAGCACATCTGAGGCTCACATCAATCAGATAACTGCTGCAGCATACGTGCGCCTGGCAAACCTAAGGATAGCGTTCCGGTACCTCAGTAAGGAATCGTTCAAGACTCTGTACACCATTTACGTCAGGCCCATACTGGAGTACGCAGCACCAGTTTGGAATCCACACTTGGTCAAGCACGTCAAGAAATTAGAGAAAGTGAAAAGGTTTGCAACAAGACTAGTTCCAGAGCTAAGGGGATTGTCCTACGAGGAAAGGTTAAGGGAAATCGGCCTGATGACACTGGAGGACAGGAGGGTTAGGGGAGACATGATAACGACATATAAAATACTGTGCGGAATAGACAAGGTGGACAAAGACAGGATGTTCCAGAGATGGGACACAGAAACAAGAGGTCACAATTGGAAGTTGAAGACACAGATGAATCAAAGGGATGTTAGGAAATATTTCTTCAGTCATAGAGTAGTCAGGCCATGGGATAGCCTAGAAAGTGAAGTAGTGGAGGCGGGAACCATACATAGTTTTAAGGCGAGGTATGACAAAGCTCATGGAGCAGGGAGAGAGAGGACCTAGTAGCAATCAGCAAAGAGGCGGGGCCAGGAGCTATGACTCGATCACTGCAACCACAAATAGGTGAGTACAACAATACAGCTAGCGCCTATCATACACAACAATACAGCTAGTATCACCTATCATACACAACAATGCAGCTAGTACCACCTATCATACACAACAATACAGCTAGTACCACCTATCATACACAGCAATACAGCTAGTACCACCTATCATACACAACAATACAGCTAGTATCACCTATCATACACAGCAATACAGCTAGTACCACCTATCATACACAACAATACAGCTAGTACCACCTATCATACACAGCAATACAGCTAGTACCACCTATCATACACAACAATACAGCTAGTACCACCTATCATACACAGCAATACAGCTAGTACCACCTATCATACACAACAATACAGCTAGTACCACCTATCATACACAACAATACAGCTAGTACCACCTATCATACACAACAATGCAGCTAGTACCACCTATCATACACAACAATACAGCTAGTACCACCTATCATACACAACAATACAGCTAGTACCACCTATCATACACAACAATACAGCTAGTACCACCTATCATACACAACAATATAGCTAGTACCACCTATCATACACAACAATACAGCTAGTACCACCTATCATACACAACAATGCAGCTAGTACCACCTATCATACACAACAATGCAGCTAGTACCACCTATCATACACAACAATATAGCTAGTACCACCTATCATACACAACAATGCAGCTAGTACCACTTACCATACACAACAATACAGCTAGTACCACCTATCATACACAACAATGCAGCTAGTACCACCTATCATACACAACAATGCAGCTAGTACCACCTATCATACACAACAATGCAGCTAGTACCACCTATCATACACAACAATACAGCTAGTACCACCTATCATACACAACAATGCAGCTAGTACCACCTATCATACACAACAATACAGCTAGTACCACCTATCATACACAACAATACAGCTAGTACCACCTATCATACACAACAATACAGCTAGTACCACCTATCATACACAACAATGCAGCTAGTACCACTTACCATAGAAGATCCTACCAGACAATATCGTCAGCATGGGAAAAATGAGGAACAGAGCACGAGGTCATATCGAACAGAGAATTTCTCAATAAATATTTGATTTGGCCTGCACGCTCTAGCTGTGTGATGGGGGAGGTAGTGGGTGCCTCACCCATCACTATATTGATTGTGCCTTAACACACAACACCACCACCTCCTCTATCCATTATAGTTGCAGTTTACAACCATTCTTCCTCTTCAACACCACCCCTCTTCTGTATAGCCAGTACGAGAGGCAGTCCACTTCATGTTACACAATGAACGACAGTAAATGTTGAATGACAGTAATAATTTGTAATGTGTGATTATATAATTCCTGAGAGCCTCTTCTTTCAGGAATTATCCACGTTTACAACGTCTCCAAAAATGATTTAAAGGAAAGGATATTATTTTTATATTGAAGTGCGAGAGAGTGATAACCAGCATCGTAAACTCTGGGAAAGAGATGTACTTTCTGGTACGACTCTCAGAGAGATCATCTCTCAAAGTGAATCTTCATAAGTGAGTTTATTTAGGTAGAGATGCACAAAGTACAACTATAGTGTAAATTACCCAGGATAAACTTAAAAAAAAGAGGCCAAAGTAACATATTTCTCTACATAACCTCTACAGCGTGATACGGAAATTCTCTCTACCAACACATATGTATATACAACACAATCCACTAATACACATATGTAATACAACAATCCACTAACACGTATACAATACACAATTGCAAAACCTACTCACATACACAATATACAAATTATTACTAAAGGTATTAAGACTATCGCAAACTGAGTAAGCTGACTGCTGATCATGATAACATGATCATGTTAACATGATCAACAGTCAGCTTACTCAGGGAGAGTACAAGTGCATTATTCTACTCTTAATTTCTGAGTAAATCAAAGTAAACATGATACTTACACCATTAAAAGTTTTGTCGAGAGAGAGATGGTAGGCAGAGGACAGGTCCTGGTCATGCCAGAGGTGAGAGACAAGGTTAACGTTAGTTATATAGAAGATGAGAGACGGGAGAGGGACATGAGAGATGAGAGACGGGAGAGGGACATGAGAGATGAGAGACGGGAGAGGGACATGAGAGATGAGAGACGGGAGAGGGACATGAGAGATGAGAGACGGGAGAGGGACATGAGAGATGAGAGACGGGGTGAGAGATGTGCCACCAGTCACTAAGATTGTCAATAAGACACAAGTGTAGCATTTAATAAGGAGAGTTTGGCTCACTAGAACCTTTGCTTCACTTGCGACTTATTCACGTACTTGCGGGAGTTTGGTACCATCTTGAAGGAGAGACAGGTGGTAGCAGCAGCAGATGGAGAGACAGCAGAGGTACGTTGATCTGCTACACCAGCTGGTGTGGGACTGACCGCCATCACTCTGGTACTCTACTAACCGGATACCACCGCACTCACACAATGCAATGCTAGTATCACCTCGTAACTCTTGATATAACGTGTCAATATATATTACACTCCACAACCTGCGCTACAATTAAAGGCTGAAAGAATAACACGAAATTCTCTTCGTATGTTTCTACACGTTTGAAATGTTACGGATATTTTTAAATTCGTTATTACCCTCGGTTAGCTTTGGTTTTTTGCTATATTAACGTATATTAATCTACACTGTCGTAAAATTACGTCTGGCAGCGTGGGTCAGTACCCTGACATTCGAAACGTCAACTTTATAACGAATAACACCAGGAGGCAACTCAGATGAAAACTCACCCACACACACGACCTTTTAAATCTCTGCACCAAATTCACCTTAAACCAGCAAATAATAGAACCAATAACACTGGAGAATACACTGGACCTCATCTTCACTAATGATGATATGAAATATTACCATATCAAAAACAATATATTCGGATCACAACATAATCGAGGTTCAGACATGTATGCGCGGAGCCCCAGACCGACATAATGAGATCAGTCACGAGGAAGCCTTCACTAAATTCAACTTCAATAACAAGAACATAAAGTGGGACCAAGTAAACTAAGTCCTAAATGATATAAGCTGGGAAGATATATTAAGATATCCTATATCTAGAACAAATTAACTCTGTGACCTTCGATGTAAACTAGAAAGAGAAAGGCGCTCCCTATTCAGGCGAAGGCGAAGAATAACAGAGTGGCAAAATGCCCTTCTCACACTATACCACTCACTTATTTATCCATACCTCACCTATGCTATTTGTGCTTGGGGATCAACTGCAGCAACACAAATAGAACACAAAGAGTAGTAGTAAACAGAGTAAAGTCTGAGGCGGCTACTGTGAAAACTGTTCCACAAGGCACAGTACTCTTTCCCATCCCGAATTTGCATAACAGTGTCCTCCATTGAAGACACTGCAAGACTCCAAGCAGACATCAAACAAATCTTCAAATGGGCCGCAGAAAACTTTGAATTTCAGTGATGAGAAATTTCAATTACTCGGATATGGAAAACGGAGTATAAAACAAATTCCAACCACACAATAGAGTGATAAACTAATGTAAAAGACCTGGGAGTGATCATGTCGGAGGATCTCACCTTCAAGGACCATAACATTGTATCAATCGCATCTGCTAGAAAAATGACAGGATGGATAATGAGAACCTTCAAAACTAGGGAGGCCAAGCCCATGATGACACTCTTCAGGTCACTTGTTCTATCTAGGCTGGAATATTGCTGCACACTAACAGCACCTTTCAAGGCAGGTGAAATTGCCGACCTAGAAAATGTACAGAGAACCTTCACGGCGCGCATAACGGAGATAAAACACCTCAATTACTGGGAGCGCTTGAGGTTCCTAAACCTGTATTCCCTGGAACGCAGGAGGGAGAGATACATGATTATATACACCTGGAAAATCCTAGAGGCACTAGTACCGAACTTGCACACGAAAATCACTCCCAGTGAAAGCAAAAGACTTGGCAGACGATGCAACATCCCCCCAATGAAAAGCAGGGGTGTCACTAGCACGTTAAGAGACCATACAATAAGTGTCAGGGGCCCGAGACTGTTCAACTGCCTCCCAGCATACATAAGGGGGATTACCAACAGACCCCTGGCAGTCTTCAAGCTGGCACTGGACAAACACCTACAGTTAGTACCTGACCAGCCGGGCTGTGGTTTGTACGTCAGGTTGCGTGCGGCCAGAAGTAACAGAATGGTTGATCAGACCCTGATCCACCATAAGGCCTGGTCACAGACCGGGCCACCGGGGCGTTGACCCCCTGAAACCCTGTCCAGGTAAACTGTACCTGAAAAAGGTGACAATCAGACAATCATGGATCAGCAGTTAGTGGTGTTGGATCAGTGTTCACTGTAGTTAGTGTTGTTGGATCAGTGTTCACTGTACTTAGTGTTGTTGGATCAGTGTTTAGTGTAGTTAGTGTTGTTGGATCAGTGTTCACTGTAGTTAGTGGTGTTGGATCAGTGTTTACCGTAGTTAGTGGTGTTGGATCAGTGTTTACTGTAGTTAGTGTTGTTGGATCAGTGTTCACTGTAGTTAGTGGTGTTGGATCAGTGTTTACTGTAGTTAGTGTTGTTGGATCAGTGTTTACTGTAGTTTGTGGTGTTGGATCAGTGTTTACTGTAGTTTGTGGTGTTGGATCAGTGCTTACTGTAGTTAGTGTTGTTGGATCAGTGTTCACTGTAGTTAGTGTTGTTGGATCAGTGTTTAGTGTAGTTAGATAACATAAGATTTCGTTCGGATTTTTAACTCCGGAGGGTTAGCCACTCAGGATTACCCAAGAAAGTCAGTGCGTCATCGAGGACTGTCTAACTTATTTCCATTGGGGTCCTTAATCTTGTCCCCCAGGATGCGACCCACACCGGTCGACTAACACCCAGGTACCTATTTGCTGCTAGGTGAACAGGACAACAGGTGTAAGGAAACGTGTCGAAATTTTTCCACCCGCCGGGAATCGAACCCGGGCCCTCCGTGTGTGAAGCGAGAGCTTTAGCCACCAGACCACCGGTGTTTATTGTAGTTAGTGTTGTTGGATCAGTGTTCACTGTAGTTAGTGGTGTTGGATCAGTGTTTACCGTAGTTAGTGTTGTTGGATCAGTGTTTACTGTAGTTAGTGTTGTTGGATCAGTGTTCACTGTAGTTAGTTTGTTTTGGGTCATGTTTACTGGGATTAGTGTTGTTGGATCAGTGTTTACTGTAGTTATGTTGTTGGATCAGTGTTTAAATGTATTAGTGTTGTTGGATCAGTGGGTTTTTCTGTATTATGTGTTGGATCAGTGTTTACTGTATTAGTGTTGTTGGATCAGTGTTTACTGTATTAGTGTTTTTGATCAGTGTTTACTGTAGTTAGTGTTTGATCAGTGTTTACTGTAGTTAGTGTTGTTGGATCAGTGTTTACTGTAGTTAGTGTTGTTGGATCAGTGTTTACTGTAGTTAGTGTTGTTGGATCAGTGTTTACTGTAGTTAGTGTTGTTGGATCAGTGTTTACTGTAGTTTGTGGTGTTGGATCAGTGTTTACCGTAGTTAGTGTTGTTGGATCAGTGTTCACTGTAGTTAGTGTTGTTGGATCAGTGTTCATGTATTAGTGTTGTTGGATCATGTTCACTGGGAGTTAGTGTTGGGTTTATCATGTTCACTGTAGTTAGTGTTGCTGGATCAGTGTTTATTGTAGTTAGTGTTGTTGGATCAGTGTTCACTGTAGTTAGTGTTGTTGGATCAGTGTTCACTGTAGTTAGTGTTGTTGGATCAGTGTTCACTGTAGTTAGTGTTGCTGGATCAGTGTTTATTGTAGTTAGTGTTGATGGATCAGTATTTACTGTAGTTAGTGTTGTTGGACCAGTCTTCACTGTAGTTAGTGTTGCTGGATCAGTGTTTATTGTAGTTAGTGTTGTTGGATCAGTATTTACTGTAGTTAGTGTTGTTGGATCAGTATTTACTGTAGTTAGTGTTGTTGAATCAGTGTTCACTGTAGTTAGTGGTGTTGGATCAGTGTTGTTAGATCAGTGTTCACTGTAGTTAGTGGTGTTGGATCAGTGTTTACTGTAGTTAGTGTTGCTGGATCAGTGTTTACTGTAGTTAGTGTTGTTGGATCAGTGTTTACTGTAGTTAGTGTTGTTGGATCAGTATTTACCGTAGTTAGTGTTGTTGGATCAGTGTTTACTGTAGTTAGTGTTGTTGAATCAGTGTTCACTGTAGTTAGTGGCAATGGATCAGTGTTCACTGTAGTTAGTGGTGTTGGATCAGTGTTTATTGTAGTTAGTGTTGTTGGATCAGTATTTACTGTAGTTAGTGTTGTTGAATCAGTGTTCACTGTAGTTAGTGGCACTGGATCAGTGTTCACTGTAGTTAGTGGTGTTGGATCAGTATTTACTGTAGTTAGTGTTGTTGGAGCAGTGCTCACTGTAGTTAGTGGTATTGGATCAGTGTTCACTGTAGTGAGTGGTGTTGGATCAGTGTTTACTGTAGGACCTGCCTCGCATGGGCCAGTAGGCCTTCTACAGTGTTCCTCCATTCTTATGTTCCTATGACATTCCTCAGGTCACGTGCGTCACACCTCATTCTCCGCCTATATATAATGTCTTTCTACCTCTGTACGTTAGAAGTGATCAAGGTCCCAGGACCGAAACGTTTTCTAATAAATATGTTATAGTGTTTGCTTACGTGTCTTTCTAAACCAACTGTAGTTAGTGTTGTTGGATCAGTGTTTACTGTAGTTAGTGGTGCTGGATCAGTGTTTACTGTAGTTAGTGTTGTTGGATCAGTGTTCACTGTAGTTAGTGTTGTTGGATCAGTATTTACTGTAGTTAGTGTTGTTGAATCAGTGTTTACCGTAGTTAGTGTTGTTGGATCAGTGTTTACTGTAGTTAGTGTTGTTGGATCAGTGTTTACTGTAGTTAGTGGGGCTGGATCAGTTTCACTCTTAGTTATGGTGCTGGGTCATGTTCACTGTAGTTATGTTTTTGGATCAGTGTTCACTGTAGTTAGTGGTGCTGTATCAGTGTTCACTCTAGTTAGTGGTGCTGGATAAGTGTTTACTGTAGTTAGTGGTGCTGGATCAGTGTTTACTCTAGTTAGTGGTGCTGGATCAGTGTTCACTGTATTATGGTGCTGGTCAGTGTTTTACTGAGTAGTGGTGCTGGATCAGTGTTCACTGTAGTTAGTGGTGCTGGATCTTGTTCACTGTACCCAGTGGTGTTGGATCAGTGTTCACTGTAGTTAGTGGTGCTGTATCAGTGTTCACTCTAGTTAGTGGTGCTGGATAAGTGTTTACTGTAGTTAGTGGTGCTGGATCAGTGTTTACTCTAGTTAGTGGTGCTGGATCAGTGTTCACTGTACTTAGTGGTGCTGGATCAGTGTTCACTGTAGTTAGTGGTGCTGGATCAGTGTTCACTGTAGTTAGTGGTGC